GGCTAAGCTCTTCAATATTCTAATCCGTTTTCGTACCTTTGCAGTTGCTCTCACTGGAGATATTGGAAAGATGTATCGCTGTGTTCGAATAGCCAAGTCAGACAGCTATTTGCAATGCATTCTTTGGCGCGGTTCTGATCAGGATGACATCAGCATCTACAAGTTGGATACTGTAACATACGGTACCAAACCCGCTGCTTTCCTCTCAGTTCGAGCGATGCATCAGTTGGCCATGGATGAGCAGTCGACATATCCTGTAGGGTCTCAAATCGTCAGACGCGATTTTTATGTTGATGACTTGATCACCGGAGGCAGTTCCATTGAAAAAGTCGAGGAGATTCTTCAGCAAACAAAAGACTTACTAGCGGAAGGCCACTTCATGCTTCGGAAATGGTGCTCCAATATCCCAGGCGTTCTCGAAAATGTGCCAGAAGAGGAGAAGGAATCATTCCTGAAATTTCACGACGGAAGTGACATAACCAAAACTCTCGGATTGGCTTGGGATCCTGCATCAGATGTCCTTCTTTTCTCGTACTTGCCTACGCAGTCCACGACCAAGCCAAACAAACGTGCTGTGCTCTCGGCAATATCCCGATTTTATGACCCGCTTGGCCTCATAAGCCCGGTTATAACTAAAGCCAAAATCTTCCTACAGGAGCTCTGGAAAGAGAAGCTACACTGGGATGAAAGCTTGCCCGAATCTTTAAGCTCAACCTGGTCCAATATATGCCTTCAGTTTCGCAGCGTAGAAAGGACGACATTTCCCCGATTCGCACTACTACCAAAGGGATCAATTGAGATTCATGGCTTTTGCGATGCTAGCATGTCTGCCTATGGAGCATGCGTATATATTGTATCCAGATCTGCTGACAAATCCAATGCTCAACTATTGTGCGCCAAGTCTCGAGTAGCGCCCTTAAAGGCTCTGTCGATTCCGAAGCTTGAACTGTGCGGAGCTCTTCTGTTGGCCAATCTTCTGAGTGAGCTTCAAAAAATGGATATATTTGCAGGTCCATACTTCTGCTGGTGCGATTCAACCGTAGTCTTAGCTTGGCTGAATAGTGAGTCATCCCGATTCACAACTTTCGTTGCTAACAGAGTAGCATCCATCCAAAGACTGTCGGCCGGAATGGAATGGCTTCACATACCTACAACACTAAATCCTGCTGATATCATATCCAGAGGAGCCTTGCCCATGGAATTGAACGCGTCCGATCTCTGGTTTCATGGACCTTCGTTCTTGCTGCTAGCGCGATCCAGCTGGCCGCCATCCCCTGCCCAAGAGCAGTGCTTACTGGAGCTGCGCAAGTCAACGTGCTTGGTTTTGACGTCACCGATTGATCTGACATCTAACTGCAAGTTTGAAAATTCATTTCCTGCTATGCAGCGAATTTTCGCATACATATACAAATTCTTGTTTCGACTTAGATCACCCACTCTGACTGTTTCAGATTTACAGAATGGTACACGCCTCCTGGTTCGAGCGGTGCAGCGAGCTACCATGTGGGCTGACTTAAAAGCAATTCAGGCTAACCATGTCCTGAAGTCATCGAATTGCCTGTCATCGCTGTCTCCATTTGTTGACGACTTTGGTCTTCTACGAGTCGGAGGTAGACTGTCGAACTCAAGTTTGCCCTTTGACTCTCGACATCCAATGATCCTGCCCAGGAAGCATCCAATAACTTCGGCTATCATCAAGCACTTTCACGAAGAAAGCCTTCACGCAGGACCTCGTACACTGCTGGCCAGAATCAGACTCCACTATTGGCCCATCGGGGGGAGAAGAACAGTCGCTGCTGTGGTCACCAGGTGCATTCGCTGTTGTCGTGCTCGGCCACGCACACTTCAGCATGTTATGGCAGATCTGCCAAAGGATCGCGTGGATTCTTGCAAGGCCTTCACTGTCACTGGAGTGGATTACTGCGGCCCATTCCTGTATAAGCTTGAAGGACGAAAACGCCAGCCGTTGAAATGCTACATATGCATTTTAATTTGCTTTGCAACCAAGGCAGTGCATATGGAATTAGTTGCTGACTTATCCACACCAACATTCTTGGCAGCCCTCAGACGCTTCATTGCAACAAGAGGTTGTCCCAAATGCATTTGGTCTGATAATGCTACCAACTTTACTGGAGCCAAGAACGAGCTTGCCGAACTTCGTCGCTTTTTCCTAGCTGAGGACCATTTGAAGGCAATCGAGAGCTTCTGTCTAGCTGACTCCATCGAATGGAAATTCATTCCACCCAGATCGCCTCACTTTGGAGGGCTTTGGGAGGCCTCAGTTAAGACAGCCAAGCATCATCTTTATCGCACTATTTCGCAATCCACACTAGGATTTGATGAGTTGCGCACCATCGTTTGCATGATCTCAGCCATCATCAACTCTAGACCGCTGCTGCCCCTATCAGAGGATCCAGCAGACCTTGATGTCCTGACTCCGGCACATTTTTTAACTGGCGGTCCTGCTACCAGTTTCTGCGAACCAGATCTCTCTAACCTAAATGTCAACCGACTTGATCGTTGGCAGAAAATTTCTTATTTGCAGGAAACTTTTTGGAAACGCTGGCGTGAAGAATACCTGACGCTCCTTCAGCAGAGATCCAAGTGGCGTTCTCCTCAACCCAGTCTGCAAGTCAACGATGTCGTCTTAATTAAGGATGAAAATCTACCACCACTTAAATGGCCATTAGCTCGTGTGCTAGAGCTGATAAAGGGGAAGGATGAAATCTGTCGAGTCGCTGTCCTGAAGACTGCAACAGGAACCACCAAGAGAGCTGTCGCCAAATTGTGCCTTTTGCCTACGAAGGATGATGTTGAAAGCCCTGGCCTTCCAACGGGGGGAGAATGTTTGGTCCAGCCCAAACAACTTAAATAACATCGCTTTTGTTTTCTTAACATCATAACTAAAACCTATTGTAAACTGCCCTGCGAGGCAAACTCTCTTAAATTCGCTTGCCCTGCGAGGCAATTCTCTTAACCATCGCTTATTCTTCGCTTATCATTTATCATCTCGCACTTCTTTGTCAAGCTCATGCAGCTGCATTGCATTGGCATTGCCAAAAATAGTCATCATCAGTCGTTGTTAGCTAACAGTCGGTAATAGTTGTCGTCGTTATCAAGATCGTTGCTAGATCGTTGCATTTAACGCTCAAACCAATTCGGGTTTGTCTGCGTCTTCTATCGTATTATTTTGTCGCTGCCCTTGTGCCGTTTAATAAACTCTATTGTACTTAATAAACATAAGTGAAATAATTGAAACAAACTTGTTATAATTTCCCTTCGATCTAATTAAATACACTTTATAAAACCTAAATAAAATCTTTGTGTTATCTTGCCAAAAAATAGTTAGTGAAAAAGCTCGCTAACTCAACAAACTTTTAAAAAAACTTGATGTAGTTCCAGAACTACCAGACATTTTAAGTATTGACGTTAATGTTGACGGCATTCCATTATTTAAAAGCTCACGTGCACAATTGTGGCCCATACTAATTAGAGTAAATAATATAAATAAATGTCCGGTTTTCCCCGTAGGAGTTTTTTTCGGGCCAAAATAAGCCATCCAATTCAGATGGGTATTTGTCTAGATTTAATAGGGAGTTGTCCGATGTAATGGAAAATGGTCTAACCATTTTAAATAAAAACATTAAAATTGATCTTAGAGCTCTTGTGTGCGACACCCCTGCAAGGGCATTTGTTACAGGCACACCTGGACATACATCCAGTTATGGCTGTACCAAATGCACTCAGGTGTGACGCAAAATAGATGCAACTTTAACATACAGCACTTCTTGTGCTGATTTAATTACAGATGTTGACTTTGCAAGTAGGAAATACCCAAATCATCATTCCAAAGATTATTTAGGCTCTCAGTCCGCTTTCGAAAAACTTGGCATCGGTATGGTTACCCAAGTTCCCTTGGATTGCATGCACCTCATTGAGTTGGGTGTAATGCGAAAATTTTTGGAAAGAATTTCTTATAATAAAGTAAAACAAAAATTTTCTAAAGAAAATAAAATGAAGATGTCAGATATATTAACGTCAATGCGGGGCTACATACCTAGGGAATTTTCACGAAAGCCTAGAACATTGTTAGAACTTCCAAATTGGAAAAGCACTGAATTTCGCCAATTTTTATTATACACTGGAATTGTAGTTTTTAAAGATACAATCCGTGAAGAGCAGTATTATATTATATCATATAGACTGCTCTGCTCACAAAAACAGCGGGTGAATAATGTTGAGGTTGCTCAGCGAATGTTAAATTTATTTGTTGAAAATTGTCTTCGGCGAAAACAGTGTTTCTTACAATATTCATGGCCTACTCCATGTAAGAGAGACTGTAAATCAAATCGGAAATCCGATTGCAGGTTCCTCTTACGCGTTTGAGAATTATTTGCAGGTATTAAAAAAAGTGGTCCGAAAGCCAACAAATATTCTAGAACAAATTTATAGAAGAACGGTAGAGGAATCGTATGTAGCTCCAGGAAGGGAAGAAATTAAGTTAGAAGGCAGGTTTCTTAAAATCCAAGACTGTAGACTTAGCGATAGGACACCAGACAATTTTTGTTTTGTTGGGGATGAGATCCCAATACAAATAGAGTCCTTTGAGGAGAATGAAGGAGAAATTTTTATAATAGGTAGGGAATTAAATGATAAAACAAACTTTTTTGATGACTAGTAAAATTAGGAACGCCGATGAGTGCTAAAAAATTTTCAGTTAGGGAATTTAGGAGAAAGGCTGTAGTTATGCCTTTCAAACAGGAAGCAGTTTTAGTTCCCAGCTTGCACTTTTCTTAGGGATTTTTAGGATTTTGGAGGTGTTTAGTCCGTAGGCGTAATTTAATTACGAATCGGGCATATTTAAAGCGACGGCCCTTTAAATATCTTTTGAAGATTCATCTTCCATGGTTCGAAACCAAAAAAAAAAAAAAAAAAAAATTAGGAAGTTTCAATTTATAAAACAATGATTTTAATTATGTTCTTTTTATTTCCTTAGAATGTCAGAGCCACCGAACAAAATTCGCTGTATCGACTTTTCCGAATCGGGTGAGTATAAATTCCATTATACAAAACTGAAATTAAAATATTATTTTACTATTCACAGATCATCCATCCGTATCTCGTAAGTTTCTTGGTTTTATTTAATTTTTGATTACTTATTTCAATTTTGTACAGATGCAGCCGAAGAAAGGATAATTTCCGCTTTAAAAGGTATTATTTGCTATATATAGTAATAAATAATCCTTATTAAATAAATTAATTTACCATTTTAGAACGAAACAACCATCTTGAAGTGCAGAATGCGGCCCTACACAGGAAAATAGATATCCTCGCAGAGAAGCTGGCGGAGACCACAGGCCTTCTAAAAATGAAATTGAAGGTGGAAAATAAGGCGGAGCTAGCAGGGGTTCCCTTCCCCCTGATGTCGGAGGATGACATAGAGCTCTTCAAGAGCTCTATGATAATATAATAAATAGTACTTTGTAAGAAATAATATAATCATAATAACAATAATAATAATAATAAAAATAATAATAATAGTAATAATAATAATAATAATATTAATAATAATAATTTTTTTTTTTTTTTTTTGGGTTGAGGAGGGGGAATGCCTAACGCATCTCCCGTTTGCCGTCGCAGAGCGAGGTATGTGGGGCTTGCACCCACTAAACCCCCCCTCGTCGTTGGCCGTGTTTCCACCTCGGAAAAGCTTCCGCATTACTTCGAGGTGGCGCCAGTTAAGCGCTATGCGCTCTCATCTTCTTCTGCGTCCAGGTCACCCAGCTGTCTCATCCAGATCAGGCTTCTTCGCCCTGAGGATGTTCTCAACGAATCCTGCAATGAGTTTCCACGCTGCTTCGCTGTCTATCATCCTCGTGATGATGTTTTCCGGTGTTATTATCCCAACAACTTCTTCCAGGCAAATGCGCGCCGGTCCGAACTTTTCACATTGAAAGATGGTGTGTTCAGCACTGTCGATCTCTGCATCTCCGTATATACATCTGGCGTCATTTATTTTTCCTATCGAGTATAGAAAGGCGGCAAAGTAGCCATGGCCAGTCAGCATCTGGGTAACGTAGTAATCCACGTCCCCGTGTTTCCTTGTAGACCATGCTACCAGGTTTGGTAGCAGCCTAGCTGTCCATTTTCCTCGTTCTTCAGCTGCCCATCTTTCCTGCCATTGTTGGAGGGTTTCTTCTCTGGTCCGCTCGATTAACGCTCTCGTCGTCTCTCCTGTCTGTCGCCTCTCATATATCCGTTTTCGCGCTTTAGCAAGTAAGTCGATTGGTATCGCGCCTGCGATAACTAGTGCAGCAGGGCCGGATACCGTTCGATACGCGCTCGCGATTCAAAGAGCCATGGTTCTTTGCACCTCCAGTAGTGGTTTTGACCTGCAGGCAGTCTCAAGGGTTCCTGCCCAGACCTCACACCCATACAGTATGATTGCATGGTTTATCTCCATCAAGAGTTTCCGTCTTGATTGTAAGGGGCCGCCCACGTTTGCCATGAGTCTGCTAAGCGCCTTTGTAGTCTCGGTCGCTCGCTTCCTCGTCTCTTGTATGTGTGCGCTGAATGTCAATTTTGAGTCCAATCTGACTCCTAGGAACTTTATAACCTTCTGCGTCCTTATTAAGTTTTCCCCTACTCTCATGTCTATTTCTAGAGGGATTCTTTTTCTGGTAGCTAACAGTAGCTCGGTTTTTTCGTCCGCCAGTTTCAGATCTTTTGAGTTTAGCCAGCTTTTTACACGTATCATTACCTGCGTCAATTTTCGCTGTGCGTACTCGGTATTTCGAGCTGTAATGACTGCAACTATGTCGTCTGCGTACCCCACGATGGTCGTGTCCTCAGGCATGTCTAGGTGGAAGTTATCTGCATACATTTCTCTCCTGATTTTGTTTGATACAATAGTCGTCGGTTGTCAAGGTAGTTCTGTATTATCCGCATCAGGTAACCTGGGATTTGGAATCGTTCTTGCAGGGCTTCAATTATGTTGTCCCATTTAACGCTATTGAATGCGTTTTTAACGTCCAGAGTTGCTAGTTGTACTACCGGTCTTGAGAAGTGGTTGCCTTGTTGGCTGCTGAGCGCTTGGTTAACTACTTCGTGGATTGCCCCTATGGTTGATCTGCCTGGTCTGAAACCATACTGCCTCGGGGAGAGTCCTCCACCTCTTTCTCCTTTGCCTTTGCTTATCAGAACCAACCGTTGCACCTTCCAGGTGTCTGGAAATGTCCCGCTGGTAATGCACGCATTATACATATCCAGCAGTATTTGGGGTCTGTTCTCGGCGATCACTCTGAGGACTTCTGATGGGATGTTATCGGGCCCCGGCGCCTTCTTCCTTTTTAGAGTTTTCGCCGCTTTCAGCAGTTCGTCCACTGTGAAGGGCTCTATCTGTTCTTCGGCTATTGGTGGCGTAGGTCTTGCTATGCTATTTGTGTGGGCAGGGAATAGTGTTTTGACTATATGGTCCATTTGCTCTTCCTCCAGTTCCGGTGTTGTACCTCTTGTTCTCAGCTTCTTCATCACGACTTTATACCCCAACCCCCATGGGTCATTATTGACGTCGTTGCAGAGGCATTTCCATTTCTCCGTTTTGCTTTTACGGATAGCAGCATTTAAGTCCTTCTTAGATTTCTTATATTGGCTGTCCTGCTCTGTGAAATCCCCCTTCCTTCTAGCCCTCGTAAGGCGGCGTCTGTTTTTAATACAGGCATCTCTAAGAGCTTTTATCTCTTCTGTCCACCAGTACGCTTCTTGTCCTTGTCTTCGAGGGTTGCCCATTTTTGGCATTGCAGCGTTGCAAGCCTGTTTTATGGTTGCCATGTTGTCGCTTACTATATTGCCGCCTCGCTGTCGATTTTGTCTTGTGTCAATTTCTTGTATCAGCCTTGCCTTGTCCAGTCGGTTAACGTTCCATCCTTTTCTCTTTGGTGCTACTGTAGTCAGTTCGTTTTCTGCTATGTCAAAAATTATGTAGCTATGGTCACTTCCGTTATATGTATCGATGACTTTCCAGTCGACGATTTTGTGCGCACTGTTTTCTGTCACTAGCGTTATGTCGGGGATTGTGCCCTCGTTCCCTACTCGATTAAATGTCGGTATTGCTCCTACATTTGCTGTTGTCATTCCTATTCTAGCAGCCATGTTTAGGACTCTACGGCCTCGAGAGTCAGTTGATGGCATACCCCATTCCTGAGCTCTCGAGTTAAAGTCTCCTGCTATTATAATGTTCCCTCTTATTTGCCTTGCGTTGTCTTCGATATCTTCGAGTTTCGTCTGAAAGGTCTGAATGTCGTCACTTGGGGTCAGATAGCAGCTAAATATCGTCCAGTTTCTGATGTGTGTTAGGACATAATAATATTAATAATAATAATAATAATAAAAATAATTTTAATTATAATAATAGTAATAATAACTATTATAATAAAAAGAACATTTTCTAAAACTGTATTAAAAACGTGTTTTGAATTTATATATGACATTGTTTAAAAAGACACCGATGAATGCACCAACGACATATTCATAAAGACATCGGTGATTTCACTAAGGGCACCCTCGCAAAAGCCATCGATGACAACATCGCCTCCACGCCATCTACGATATCATCGATGTCTTATACGAATTTTCTCCATACTCCCTGAAATGCCATCCCTAAAATGCTACCAGTCCTACAATCTACAAAGCACGAATGTACAATGTGTCTCTGTCAAAGTTACAACCGACCATGGCGAAGTATGTATTGCATCTATATATTGTCCACCAAACTTTCAATGTTCTGCTGACGACTTCGAAAAACTCTTTGATGATCTTGGAACAAATTTCATAATCGCAGGTGATTGGAATGCTCACCACCGCCTCTGGGGATCCCGAAACTCTACCAGCCGAGGAAGAGCACTCGCTGATGTTGTACAAAGATCAAACTCCCAGGTCCTTGCAACTGGAGGGCCTACGCATTATCCACACAGCCAAAGAACGCCAACAGCCATTGACTTTGCAGTCTATAGAGGGATACGGTCCGAGTGTCTCTCCATCACAGAAAGCTTTGAGCTTAGCTCTGATCACATACCGCTTATAATAAAGTTGAGAGTAGGTGCACAAATAATTCGTAATAGGCCTTGCATCCTTCCTCGAAACGCGAGTATCCCGCGCTTCCAAGCAGCAGTTAACCAGCTTGTTAACCTCAATCTGGTGTTAAACTCTCCCGAGGAAATCAACGACGCTGTAGAGATGTTTGTCCGGAGTATTCATATCGCTGCCGAGTCCTCAACCTGTGGACAAATTTCAAGCCACTCCAATCCACCTCAGGCTCTTTTAAAACCTGAAGTTATGGACTTGGTAAGGCTGAAAAGATCCTTACGTCGCAGATATTTGAGGTCCCAAGACCCAGTCGACAAAAGGGCTTACCGTCGCGCCGAGGACGAGCTTAAAAAACTTCTGCATCAAACCAAGCGCGAATATTTTGATGAGATGCTCCTCAATGCGGATCCCACCAAACCGTACGGCTTTAACCTCTGGAAATCGACACGAAACATTAAACGACAGCCTCTCCGAAAGATCCCCATAAAGAAAACTGACGATACATGGTGCAGGTCTGACTCAGAGATTTCTTTAGCTTTCGCGGACGAACTAGAGAAACGCTTTCAGCCATTCGACCTCGCGAGCCCAGAGGATCTCGAAGAAACAATGGCCTTCATTAATGCTCCTTCACCGAATGCTCTACCGATCCCACATGTCAGCCCAGAAGAAGTTTGTCTTCATATTCGAAAGCTACATATCAGTAAAGCGCCGGGATTCGATGGCATAGACAATAGAATTGCCAAGGCTCTGCCTAAGAAGGGTATCCTGTTCCTTGTTCTCCTCTTTAATTCAATGCTACGTATCCAACACTTTCCCTCCCAATGGAAGTGTGCTGTGATAACGATGATACCAAAGCCAGGAAAACCGGAGAACCTTGTAGAGTCATACCGACCTATAAGCTTGCTTCCCACATTCTCTAAAATATTCGAGAGAATATTTCTTAGTAGAATTATGGGAGTAAGAAGCGTGCAGGCCGCCATCCCCGATCACCAGTTTGGTTTTAGGCATCGCCATGGGACCCCAGAGCAAGCACATCGAGTAGTTAATCACATTTTGAATGCCTTTGAAAACAAGCAATACTGCTCTGCAATTTTCCTTGATGTCAAGGAAGCTTTTGATCGAGTATGGCATTACGGACTACTTCATAAGTTGAAGTCATTACTTCCGACTGGCCAATTCCTTCTACTGAAATCATACCTGCTTGATCGAAGTTTTATGGTCGAGGTGAGAGGGGAAAGGTCAAGCATTAGATTTGCTCGTGCTG